ATAGACTTGACATTTCGAGCACTAATGACTGAAGACCAGACGAATTGTGGGATAACATCAAGGGTATCATACATGAAGAAAGCAAAAGGCCATTAAAAAGACAGGTAAGAAAGAAAAGACCAAAATGGATGTCAGAAAAGACTCCAAAATTTGCCTTTGAATGTAGAGTAGCTAAAGAGAACGGAAGAAATAATGAAGTAAAAGAGCTGAGCAGAAGATTTCAAAGGGTGGCTTGAGAAGACAAAGTAAAGTATTATAATGAAATGTGCAAAGACCTGGAGTTAGAAAACCAGAAGAGAAGAACATGCTCCGCATTTTTCAAGCTGAAAGAACTGAAGAAAAAATTCAAGCCTCGAGTTGCAATAGTGAAGGATTCTATGGGCAAAATATTGAATGACATATGAAGTATCAAAAGAAGATGTATACACAGTTTCTGTGCCAAAAATAATTGGTAGATGTTCAGTCATTTCAGGAGGTAGTATATGATCAAGAACCGATGGCATTGAAGGAGGAAGTCCAAGCTACATTGAAGGCATTGGCAGAAAACAATACTCCAGGAATTCACGAAATACCAATTGAGATATTTCAACAAGTGGAATGCAGCACTGAAGGTGCTCACTTGTCTATGCTAAGAAATCTGGAAGACAGCTGCCTGGCCAACTGACTGGAAGGGATCCACATTTGTGCCCATTCCAAAGAAAGGTGATCCAACAGAATGCGGAAATTATTGAACAATATCATTAATACCACACACAAGTAAAATTTTGCTGAAGTTCATTCAAAAATGGTTGCAGCAGTACATCAACAGGAACTACCAGAAACTCAAACTGGATTCAGAAGAGGACGTGGAGTGAGGGATATCATTGCTAATGTCAGATAGATCTTGGCTGAAAGCAGAGACTATCAGAAAGACGTTTACCTGTGTTTTATTGACTATGCAAAGGCATTCGACTATGTAGATCATTACAAATTATGGATAACATTTCAAAGAATGGGAATCTCAGAACACTTAATTGTGTTCATGAGGAACCTGAACAGACCAAGAGGCAATCATTCAGACAGAACCGGGGGATACTGAGTGGTTTAAAATCAGGAAAAGTGTGTGTCAGGATTGTATCCTTTCACCATACTTAATCTGTATGCTGAGCAAGTAATCTTAGAAACCGGGCTACATGAGGAAGGTGGCATCTGGATTGGAGGAAGACTCATTAACAACCTGTGTTATGCCGATAATACAACCTTGCTTGCTGAAAGTGAAGAGGACTTGAAGTACTTACTGATGAAGATCAAAGACTACAGCCTTCAGTATGGATTACACCTCAACATAAAGAAAACAAAAATCCTCACAACTGGACCAGTGAGCAGCATCATGTTAAATGGAGAAAGGCTGAAGTTGTCAAGAATTTCATTTTACTTGGGTCCACGATCAACACCCATGGAAGAAGCAGTCAAGAAATCTAACAACATATTGCATTGGGCAAATCTGCTGCCAAAGACTTCTTTAAAGTGTTGAAAAGCAAAGATGTCACTTTGAGGACTAAGGTACACCTGACCCAAACCATGGTATTTTCAGTCACCTCATATGCATGTGAAGGCTAGACAATGAATAAGAAAGACCATAGAAGAATTGATGCCTTTGAATTGTGGTGTTGGCAAAGAATATTAAGTATAACATGAACTGCCAGAAAAAGGAACAAATCTTTCTTGGAAGAAGTACAACCAGAATGCTCCTTAGAAGTGAGAATGGCAAGACTTTGTCTTGTGTACTTTGCACTTGTTATCAGGAGAGACCAATCCCTAGAGAAGGACATCATGCTTGGTAGAGGGTCAGGAAAGAGTGGAAGACCCTCAATGAGATGGATTGACACAATGACTGAAAGAGTGGACTAAAACATGGCAGTGATTTTGCGGATGGTGCAGGACCTGGCAGCATTTCATTCTGTTCTACATGGGGTTGCTATGAGTCGAAATGGACTCAAGCATAGCAACAATTGTGAGGATAGTGCAGAACAGGGCAGTGTTTTGTTCTGTTGTACATAGTTCACTGTGAGTTGGAATCGACTCTACGGCACCTAACAAGAACAACAGTAACATGAATCAGAATCTATTCCATGGGAACGGGAACGGGATTATACACGTATTGGTCAAGACACTCTGGGAGCACATAAGGGGTAGCAACCTGTTAGCTATTCTAGGAACTCTAAAAAACATTAATTTAAATATACTCCAGATTCATAGTATTTTAAATTTTAGATATTTGGTTGTTAGCAATGGCTGGTGCGTATTGATTATCTTAGTTATATTATCATGGAAAAGACAATTTAGCTCAATAATTAACATTTTGAGTTTTTTTGAGGTGCAATTGCTGTACAGTAAGCTGCAACTTTAGTGTACAATGGAGATTCGTGACATTTGTACACACCATCACTGCAATCCAGATTTGAACATAACCATCACCCCAAAACATTTCTCATGCCCTTTTGTAATCTACCGTTCTCTGCCACCCATCCTCCCTCTGCATTTCTTTTTTGCCTAATAATTGGCATTAAATAGAAATTTAAACCCTGGCACATTTAGTTTTCATGTTAACATGGTAATTTTCTACTTACTGTACTTATTTTTCATGATAGGTTTTATCTTGATGATTTAAAACATCATTGCGATATTTGTTGACTTAATTAGATATTTGTGTTTGGCCTCTTCCTTTCCTCTTTCTCCTTAGATGAGCTTTGTGAGAAAACAATTCTTTTGCCACTTTGCCTGATGGACCCTTGTACACATAGGGTTCTGATTGTTGTCCTGGTTTCAATATGCTTAAATGATTTAAAGTCATACCTTGGTGGTAGAGAAGACTTCTCCCGACAGGAGAGAATAATCGTAATGTCATGTGTTTCTCGAAGAGCCAGAATATGAGAGAGCCTTGGGTAGGCTGTTAAATGTGTATTTCTTCTTTTTGGGCATGAGACTGTACTGGTCATTGTGTCTTGCTAAGGGTCCCTGGGTGTCTACCCCCATGTGGAGACAGGCAATCTTCAGCTAGGAAGTATCACATCTAGACAAATTTTTGTGACCTGAGTGGAGATCTCTCTAGACACTTGGTGTACTAGGACAAGTCCTAGACACATGGGAGTGTGCTGAACGTGTTAAGGTTGGAAGCTCGTGTGCAAATAAAAAACTATTTTTTCCTTCCTTTGGTTGCTCTGTTTATTTCCGTGTCATTCTCCTTTAATATTTAGCAAAGTCTTTTGAGATTTTCAGCTTTTCTCAGCTGGGCCGAGGGAAACTGTTTTTGATTCATGTTAGCAGCATCAGAGAAGGGAGAGAAACCCAAGAGGAAAGTAAATTTCAGGGACAAAGGAGTTGCTAGGTTGGCCACTTTCATCCCCTATAAGAGAGACCTCCTTTCAGAGATAACCTTGGGGGGATCTGCATTTTACTGTATGGGGGCAGTGGAGTGATATTCCCTGACAAGGCTCTTCCTTCCCCACCCCTCCACCAAAGTATACTGTATCTCATTGATGGAGAGCCTTGATCTCAAATTTCTGGAAACTAATTTCTAGGATATGGGGGTGGTTCAGTGTAAGAATTCTCCCCTTCTGTGTGGGAGACCTGGGTTTGATTCCCAGCCAATGCACCGCATGCACAGCCACCACCCAGTGTCACTGGAGGCTTATGTGTTGCTATGATGCTGAACAGGTTCCAGCAGAGCTTCCAGATTAAGATAGACTAGAAAAAAGGCCTGGCAATCTACTTCTGAAAACCAGCCATTGAAAACCCTATGGATCACAAAGGTCAGATCTCCAACCATTCACAGGGATGGTACAGGACTGGGCAGTGTTTCATTTCATTGTGCATGTGGTTGCCATGAGTCAGGGCTGACTTAACAGCAGCTAACAGCAACAATTGCTAAGATAGCTGATAGGAGATCTCAGGGTTTTCTCACTCACAAAGATATTTGCGTTTTAAATGAGAGCCTTAAAGACTAAAGGATATTCCGTGCCAAAGGAGTTAATGCTTAATGATGGAATTTCAGGTAAAGGAAACCTACTGGGGTCTAGGACCTACTCAGTGCTTCTTAAACTGCACCACAAGTGTGATACGAATTATGTGCCCATGGATTTTTATGCCAGTATACACCTCTCTCTCTCATTTTTTTTTTTACACATTACTTCTCCTTTATTCTACTTATTTTTTTAGTTGCATAAAACAGCATCTATAAAATTATATCATGGGACCTGTCACATTTAGAGATGTAATATATTTGACAATTACAACACAAAGGAGGGTGAGGGAATGAAGCTATCTTGAGTAAGAAAATGACATCAAATTATAACTCCAATCCATGGGAAGAAATGAAGAGAACTGGAAACGGTAAATAAGAAAGATTTATAAATACATTTATTTTTTTCTCTTTTCTTTTCCTCTTTTGTTTAAAAGACATAAGATAACATAGAGCAACAAATATAACATTGTATTGTTAGGTTTGTAACATATACAGATGTAATACAGTATACATCTCTCTTAACACAATCTGGCTTTTAAATGTACTGTTCAGAATTAAAATTTAAGATTGCTTTGGGGGAAATTTTATCTATACATCCCAAGGTAACTGTCAGCTTAGAGTCTGAAAAAATGATAATCTATATATTTCTGGTGAGTATAAAGTATAAAGTACATATTTATTTGTCAATAAACTAAAGCTAAAGTTAAATGATCTTAAGATCTGTATTGAGTAGGTATGTTGTCATGTTTTGTTTATAATTCTAGATTTGGTTTATGATATGTGCAAATTACAAATCCCTAAATCAATATCATATTTCTTTGAAAAGCATATGATCCTAGAGTTTTGTATATTTACTTATTTCTACTTCATCTTAGTCAGAAAATGTTAGAGGGCTACAATGAGTAGATTATAAAAGTCACTTCCAAGAGGACTTAAATGTGTGCTTTGCCATATGTGAGATCTTGATTTTCTAATTTCATTGACATTTAACTTTTAGGTATTCAGAGGATGACTACCTTCAGATTATCAAAAATATACACAGCTGTCCATGGAAACGACAAGCAGAAGAATATGAGAATTTTAGGTAAAAAAAAAAAAAAAAACATAAATAATATGGGAGAAAAATGTTTAGTGTATCTGTTTTCTAGGGAAAATAGGCATCATGTTGTTTAAACAAAAGTAGAAGGGGTTACCTGGCAGTCAGGATGATTAATTCTAAGACTCTCCCCTGGTATTCCTGTGTATTTGATACTATTAACCTTACCCAACCTTTCCATTCCATCGGCATCTCTGGTATAGAAATTGGTGTTATATTTAAAAAAAAAAACCCATTGCCGTCAAGTCGATTCCAACCCATAACAACCTTAGAGGATGGAGTAGAATTGCCCTATAGGGTTTCCAAGGAGCGCCTGGTGGATTCAAACTGCCAACCTTTGGGTTAGTAGCCGAACTCTTAACCACTACCATCACCAGGGTTTCCGGTGTTATATTACTGGAATTAATTTTAAAAATTCTAAATTCAAAAGAAATTTTTGTTGCATGGTTTATAGATGTGGCTCTTCTTTTTTGTTCTGTTTATATTCGGTATGTGTATATACGGGGATACCTGGCATCACAACGGTTAAGTGCTTAGCTGCTAACAGAATTGGCGGTTCAAACCCACCCAGCAGCTCTTTGGGAGACAGATATGACCATCTGCTTCCATAAAGATTACAGCCTAGAAAACCCCATGGGGCCGTTCTACTTTGTCCCATGGGGTCACTGAGTCAGAATCAACTCAATGGTATCCAATAACACCAACATGTATATACATATGTATGAATGCATGTATGTATGTCTTATTGTAAACAATATGTAATAGCATTAGGGAATGTTTGGAAAACATAGAGGAAAAAAATATCCATAATTCCATCCCTTTACAACAAAAACTATTTTTGTTCCTACATCTTCTCTTTCAGATTTTCTCATTAGTTTTTTAAAACAGGCATCATTAAGGAACAGGAATTACTCAAGGTAATAACCTGGGGAGGAGCCTTCAACCTGACAAAACCAGGCTGTTTGTTGGTGATTATAGAGCTCTTTGCTGTGCTTGGATGACTTGTAGCCCACCCAAAAGAAATATATTTTGTTAAAGTAATATACTATGAGTTATGGCTACTTATCTGGTACCTACCCCCTCACCACCACCCCATCCCCACACAAGCACATTGTCTGTGTGCTTACCTGGTCTAGATTGCTCTGCTTTTATTGCCACATTCTGATTCTGTTCTTTGATGTGCATCCCACACAGGTTTTATCCTGTGTCAGATTATTTTACTGTTATCCAGAGATATTTATCTTTACCTATTCATGTTTTCAAAATTCACTTGAAGTATCAAGCCTTTTAAAAATCTTATTAAAGAGACCTGCCGAAAACCAAACCTGTTGAGTCCATTCTGACTCATGGCGACTCTATAGGACAGAGTAGAACTAGCCCATAGGGCAGAGTAGAACTGCCCCCATAATCTTATGCGAGCAGACTGCCGCATCTTTCTCCCACAGAGCAGCTGGTGGGTTCTAACCGCTGACCTTTCAGTTAGTAGCTGAGCGCTTAACCACTGCACCACCAGGGCTTCCAAAGAGACCTTACTTTCCCCTAAAATACTCTAAGAAATATCTCTGCTTGGTTCTGTTTATTGTGGGATAGCGGCTCTTCCTGTTTGCAGGATGCTGTAGCTCTGCCTGTCCCTGCTTCAGCCACTGTACACTGGTGGCCTTGGACCACTGTCTTTGATTCTGCTGCCAGCATGAGAGGGCTTCTGTCCAGTTCCCATTGGATGAAAGAGTAACTTTCTGATTGGGTCCAAGCTAAAAGTGAGTATCTTCCTGCTGCTGGGTAGATGGAGACCCTGGATAGTGCAGATGGTTAATGCACTCTGCTGCCGGCTGAAAGGTTGAAGGTTGGAATCCATCCAGAGACACCTTGGAAGATAGACCTGGTAATCTACTTCTAAAAAATCAGCCACTGAAAACCCTACGGAGCACAGTTCTGCTGTGACACACATAGGGTCGCCATGAGTTGCAATCAACAGCAACTGGGATACTAAGCATATACGTGGATGTCAGGATTACGTGTAGGCTATCGTAAGCATCTTTCCTAACCTTGACGTTTGAGGGTGAGGGGTGGGAAAGGGGATTTCTGCTTAACTATTTCATTTCCAGAATATTTTATGCTACGCAGTCCTACTTAGTACTGGATTTGGGAGATCCTGGTGACAGGGAGACCAGATAGACTATTGCACAGACAATGGTAACCTAAATGAACACAGGGTCAGTGGGTGGCCTTTATGGATGTTCAGGACAGGCAAAAAAGGAAAAGGAAGATATTGAGAGATTGAGGATCAATCCAAGATGATTAGCTAGAAATACTCGATGAGTAGTGACACCAGTAATCAAAGCAGCATACAGGAGCGTCTACTTCTGGCTGTTAAATTGATTCAGATCAAGCCTTTTTAAAATAATATAAAGAATCAGACAAAGTATACTAAAACACATTTGAAGGCATAGGAGATCTACCAAGGGAGTGAGAATTTATAGGACCAGGATCAAGAAGAAGAGGGAAGCCAAGGGAGGTGAGGCAAGCATCTGGGGCTGCTTTTTCTCAAACGAACCTGCCTATTCCAAAAGCAACAGCATGACTGTGAGACTGAAAAACTAAGCAATCACATGGGGCTGGTGGCACAACAGAGGTGGGGTCTGCCAAAGAGGAGGTGCCAAGGAGGGGGAGGCTTTGTATCTGGACCCATAAGGGCTACACCCTATGTCTTAGTTTCTTAGTGTTGCTATAACAAAATACCACAAGTGGGTGGCCTTAACAAACAGAAATTTATTTTCTCAGAGTTTAGGAGGCTAGAAGTCTGAATTCAGGGTACCAGCTCTAGGGGAAGGCTGTCTCTTTTCTGTCAGCTCTGGGGGAAAGTCCTTGTCTCTTTTCAGCTTCTGTTCCTCGGTGTTTTTTTGGTGATGTTCCTGTGGCATGTACCTTCCCCTCCGCTTATGCTTCCTTCTCGGTACCTAATCTGCTCTTCTTATATCTCAAAGGTGACTGGTTTAAGAGACACCCTACAGTGATATGGTCTTATTAACATAACAAAGAAAGTCCTATTCCTAAATGGGATTATATCCAAGGGTATACGGTTTAGGATTTACAACAATATTTTGGGGACCCTGGAAAAGTCCTTCAAAAGGACTGAAGCCCAAATTAGAATCATTCCATCCTCTATTGGATTGAGGAGATCTTCCCTTAGCCTGGATGCCTGATGAAAACAAAAGTAAATCCTCTCTGAGTGAGACAGAACCCCCACAGTGCTGCATTCTTTACCTGGCTTCCTCCCTTACAGTGTGGTATTGCAAAATCGGTTCCTTTTCTGGCTCCACCCCCCTCAGCTTTGCATTTGAATCTTGCTTTTGCTTGGAGGTTATATATAAATCCCACTGCACCTGTGTAGTATGATTAAAATGTTGCTGATGTAACTTGTATGAACTTTCACTTGTAAACTCCTTTAAAAGTAACCTGCCTGCCTGCCCTTGGTGAGCAGCCTTGACAGCAGTAAGCACCAACTGACTCTATTTCCTTGTACAACGAAATAAAGGTGCCTTTTTTGTTCTCCCACCTCAGTCTCTCGTTTATTGGCCAATATGAGTCATACCAAGAACCTGGGGTTTCCACGCAGTGACATGGAGAAAGATAGCCTCATTCAGAGCCTCAGATATCTCTCCAAGTTTTCACACATTACCTCTGACTTGATTTAAAAATATGTCTATTGGCTACCACTACTAACCACTCTGACAGGGATCACAATAGTGGGTCCCAGGCAGAGTGGGAGAAAAATGTAGAACACAATTCAAATTCACAAAAAAAAAAAAAAAAAAGACCAGACTCACTGGTCTGACGGTGACTGGAGGAACCCCAGAGATTATGGCCCCCAGACACCCTGCTAACTCAGAATTTAAGCCACTCCCGAAGCCCACCTTTCAGCCAAAGATTAGACAGGCCTATAAAATAAACAATAACACACGTGAGAAGCGTGCTTCTTAGATCAGTCAAGTATACAAGACCGAATGGGCAACACCTGCCCGAAAGCAAAGACAAGAAAGCAGAAAGGGACAGGAAAACTGGATGGACACTGAGAACCCAGGGCGGAAAGGGAAAGGGGCAGAGTGCTGACATATTGTGAGGATTGCAACCAATGTCATAAAACAATTTGTGTATAAAATTTTTGAATGAAAAACTAATTTGCACAGTAAACTTTCAACTAAAACACAATAAAATTAAAAAAAAAACACATTGAGATACCACTTCACACCCACTAGGATGGATATTATAAAAATTTTTTAAATGGAAAATAACAAGTAAAAGTATATATACACATGTGTATATATACATATATATGTGTGTATATATATATGTGTGTATATATATATATATATAGTTGTGTTTGTTGCCGTCAAGTGGATTATGACCATGGTGACCCCGTGTTACAGAGTAGAACTGCTCCTGAGGGTTTTCTTGGCTGTAATCTTCGTGGAAGCAGATCACCAGGCCTTTTCTGCTGCAGTACTGCTGGGCAGGTTTGAACTGCCAACTTTTTGGTTAGCAGTGAAGCACAAACCATTTACACCCAGGAACTTCTAAAAATATATATGTTCTCTATTAAATTTTTTTCTTCCTTCCCTTCCTTCCTTTCCTTCTTTCTTTTTTAAACATAAGTCAGGAGTCTCTGCAAATCCAAAGCTGTGTGAGTCACTGCTGCAGATTATGATGAATATAAGTGTATAGACTGATTGTATGCAGACAGAACAGCCGTCTTTACCTTAGTGCCATCTCAGTATAAAAAGTGAATCAGTAACCCTGACGATTACCCAACTGCCTATTCATCTCTTCCAGGGCCAATTTAAGTAGACATCTGGGGCTATAACACTTACTGTTTGTTGTCATTCAGAAGAACAGCCATGGTGACATTTATTTACTTAAATATTTATTATATTGTAATGTTCTTTTATGGGCATATTTGTAAAACGAGTTATATAAACTCTCAACAGAAG